GTCACATAATGAGTGAATGAGGAAAATATTAGAATAGTTCGAAACTGTAAAAGAAAACTAAATCTAATACTAGGCAGCAAAATTTGAAAATTACTGGTTATTTTACCTTCTCATAAGCAATATTCCCAAAACTCTATAGTTTATTCAGTCTTTCTTGTAATTAACATACAGTTTGAAAATAATTAAAAATGCTGCTCTTCAAAAATTCAGTATTTCAAAAGCTGCATTTAATATGAACCGCAAAACTTTGAAACAACTCGCACTCTCATCCCCTTGAGGCAAACACAATCTTTCAGAAAAGGCTAACATTTGACGAGTATTTGTTGCAATTAACTGAACAAATTTAAATTGGGCAAACCAAACTTGTCGGTTATAATATTCCGGTTGAATTCTCAAGATTTAGTAAAAACAAAGGTTTACGAGGTGAAAACAAAAAACTGTTATGAACTGCATATCAGACAGGCCCATACTCTTCACTTACACTGTTACATGTCGTCGACAGTACCGACCGTTTTAAAGGTAATACTCGACAGGTTCGCCCACGTTTTTGTCAGAAAACGAGCACCAAACACCCAGATATTCTGTTTTTAAATGCCAATACAAATTAATTATCATGATCTTAAAGTTCTGGTCACATTTAATGTCGACAGCGTGGTGGCTTTCAATCTCGAGAGTAATTTTATTCAACAAAAACGGTCCCCAGTAACTGACTGATATTTGATTTTGGTTCAGTACAATGGTTGATTGAAAAAACGGAAAAATGCTTGCACTGTGGTATGTTTCACAGGTTGAATTTAGCCAGACAATGAAATTGTTCGCGTGTGTCTGTACATTTCGCCCTAATAGCGCATGCATTCCAGATCAGTGCCTGAGACACTCCAGTATTTCATATCACATCGGTTAAACCCCATAAAACGAGACCCAGTTCGTATCGACACGACATTAAAAATATTTGTTGTTGTACCGTTGACCAATAAACAACCATACACATTATTTACCGAACGACATTTATGAGTGAGTCGTGCTTATACTGAATAACGAACTCAAGACTTCAACAAGAACATAAGATTGAAACACGAATCCAAGCGACATGGTGTCTCAAATTAAACGCTTAAGCTTTAAGCTGTGGGTTCTAACATGTTTTGTCTATCAAGTTGGTTCTCAGTATTCATCCACAATGAACTGGCAAGGTTTCAGTAGTAGCTGGGTCCTAGACAATCAACTACTTTTATACCCTCAATATAAAAGCTAATTATTTTAATGGCGTATTGTAAACCTTTATCTTCAGAAGGTAACATCAGCAATTATTGTTAATAGTATTACGGCAATAAACAATAAATCCTGCAATGTTCCGTCATTCGAATCTGTTTGTAGACGGATTTATAATCCCCTCATCATTAAACATTTAAGAGTTCCGAAATCGTTTCACGGTTGTAGAAGAAACAGCTTTTCAAGCTGTTAGAGTGTGCACCAGTTTTTTTCGCTGCACTTGTTATCGGCGTTAATGTATGGTAGAATACCGTATCTACTTAGGAAATATTAAAGTGCTGATTCTACACTGGGAAAAAATTAACTTCCAAAAGTTCAAAATTTTCATTGAAATCTATGTGTAAACACCACATTAAATTCAACAGAGCATGAGGAAATTAGTGTCATCTGTGAGTTGTAGAAATTGAATTCGTTCAGCACAAAGCTAAACATCAAAGACTCGGATGAAAAATGTATTGATAAATTGAATAAAAGAATGGATGTATATAAATTGTCCACTCCTCAACATTGATGAAGACAGGAGAAGAGTGAAAATATGATCCTACTTGAATCTCCATATTTATAAGATGTAAAGCAGATTGACAGTCTTCAACTTCAATTCACTTAAACATTCGTCTACCAATATTAATTTTTGTCTTTTCTATACTATGCATTAGTATTCTTATTATATTCTTCTGAAGATGAAATGGAAAAACATGAACAGAGTTAAACTTGGACTTTGAAAAATAATTGTTCCATGTTTAAATAAAAGCTTTATTCTCTGAACTGTGGTATCAATTAGTTGAAGATTAAGCTAGATTTGGCTAAAAATTGAAGATCCCCTCGAAGAAACTATTGACAATTGTATTAATAAAACTAATTGAAAAATTGCATTTCACAATAACCATTTTTTACTATAAGCTTGCCTTTATCAAAAGTTTGGATGCCCTGCCCTAGTGAGAAGTATTTTTCTATTCCTAGGTCAATAATAATAATAAAAAAGTGAATAATGAAATATGTGAAAGTTTTTCGTTATTTTTATTTTGCCCACCTGTTTAAGTTCAGGCGAGATTCCATCCATTTCCACTTCTAACTCACTGTTACTTTAAGATTCACTAATTTTTCGCTTTTCCCAGAAGTTTTTCATAGAAGTTTTACTGGAGACCGATAAATTATTATATTGCGGCAATTTGTCATTTTGACAACTGAACGTCAGGCTATTAAATAATGCGACACTTCAGAAAATTAATGGAAAATTCAAAATGATTAAATCGATTTAGGCAACTCTCCGTGTTAGTAGTGAAAAAAATTTATATATAGTTCGGTCGAGAAGGCTTTTAAATACCTCGCACATTACGCTATAAAAGTGCTCGGTATATAATTGGTTAGTTCTCGACTGAGGAAGACCTTAAGAGGCACTTATAAACACATATATATTTTATGTGATATTTGAGTTGCATATCTAGTGTACTGTGCAGTCCTGGACTTGACAGGTTCTTGAATTCACGAGTTCAACTACCGATGGTGGCGCTGCGACACGTTGTCGAGTGACAGTTGAGACTTGTCAGACTTGCTTATTTATTGGAGTTCATGACATTTATAACATAAAACAATACTTACACACTTTTCGATCTGTTTCTATTTCTTTAAAAGCTTGCAAAGGTTGACTAGAACAAAACAAATCTCAATCAGATGGAAACACCAATGTGATACGAATATCAACAAAACTAGTGTCAAATTACTACTTAACTTGTAGTTATAATATTAGTCATCAGGGGGCGTTTGGACTTTTGAACTTGCGAATAGTATTACACTGGATGTTCAGGTGGTAGATTGGATCGCATGTTCGTGTGTTTTCGCGTCTTTTTCGTTGGTTTTAGGGTTTTCTTTCGTTCAGTTTGGTTTTTATATATTATTTGTATATTTAATATTATTTTTTAAAACTGTAAAACCTACTAATAATAAATTTACTTTGTCAAAATATCGCATATTATTGTATCAAAAGAGCGATTTGGGAGCAATATTAAAATGTAGTGAGTCGGTTGGGGAGCTGATATTTCAAGAGTTTAATATAAAAAATTAGAAAGTTGTACAATCGGAGTCGCTGTCGGATCTTCAGGCAAAGTTATATAATGGAAGAAGGCTACTTAGGAAGAACAAATTGAATCATGTGATGAGTTTAGCAAAAAGCTTTGTCCCTCAGTGTGACCTATGGTTTTACAACCAGATCGAGGAATACCATAAGTCTTACGTAGAGCCTAGTGTTGATTCTTCTGTGCCAGAATTCAGCAGCGTTGAATGAAAATAATCCTGTCCCACTCAAGCTCTATCTTTAGTATATGTTCAATCATAATGTATTCAACTAATAAAAAAATTGTACGTGGTAGTGTTGGATTTATTAGATACTATATCCCCGGAAGTAACAAAGAGAAACTGTAAAAACTGTTCAAGAACCTACTAGTCCATTTTTTTCCATAATTTTGAGCATACCTATAAATAATTGTGAACTTTATATGGTTGCTTATATGTATTCCTTGATCAAAAATGTACAGCGTATATTTTTTTTTACTTTTAAAACGTTTCGCTGGCAAATAAATGTTTATTTTTGTTTCCCGAAAAATTGACAATGCTGGACTTGATCGGTTATTGCATTGGACCCTTCAACTAGGGTTTAATTATTTGTGAACGTTATGCAACTGCAAACTCTGTTAAGAAATTGCCTTAGAAAAACCTGGAAATAGTCTCAAAATTTAAATGCAACTAGTGTTATGCTATATTAATTACCCTTAAAATTTAGAGATGTAACATTTCAAAACACCACTATCATGTTTCTCTTGAATTCTTAGTAAACCACATTTTCATAAAAAAATATTGGCAATTTGAAAACTAGAGTGATGCCAAATTGAGATTTTTGCAAAAAACTGAAATTAAGTATTGTACATTACCAAGCCAATATATCTAAACCAGAAAGTATATGGAAAAAATGCTGGTTTAAAATAGACTATTGACTACGTTTAATTTTTTTTAACTGCACACACGTAAATTTAGGGCCAAAGTATGAATAATTGTATTAGATTATGCTGCAATATTAGTTTTCCCATAATTTAAGAACTGAAATTATAATTTGAGTGCTTTTACCTAATTAAAATTGGGAATTGATGACAAATAATTCGATTTTATCCGCTTATAAAAGATATGTCTATAACGGACTTACAACATAAAAAATGTATAAAAACATTAATGTTTGTTGTGAATGTTTTACTAAAACGATAGCCTACAGTTGGACATTCAACTAATATAATGCAATTAATGAAATGAAACATTCACAAAAAAATTCAATGTATGTATTTTTCTTATATCAACCCCAAGAAATATCCTCAAAATAAATGAGCCCAATTCCAAATTGCTTTAGAAACGTATCTAAAGCAAATTAAACTGTTCTTTCAGTGTAACTTTTGTAAATGCTCGCACCTAACCGCTTGAAACAAGCCATTCATCAACTTGTCCCTCTTATAATTCTTATAGATGATAATGCTCGAACTTGCTGTTTACATTATCACATCAATTCAAGGAACCCAAAACAACCCAAGTAAACCTGCTGATACACATTCTTTTTTAGCGTGGCATCTTCTGCAATATCTCGAAAGGGGACGTGATTGTTTAAGTAAACAGATAGGTCAGAAAATGTGCAGTTTTCATTGATTCTAAAGCCCAGAGTCACTTTAGTAATGTGCCTGTTTTTTGCGTTTCAGTTTGCATTGGAACGAATGGACGGATGTCGGTGCCATCAAACCGAGATCATCACTACCGGAACCTGAAAGACCGTTTCACCAACTGCACTTATGTGGATGGAAATTTGGAGCTCACATGGTTGCAAGACAGCAATCTGGATCTGAGTTTTCTGCAGTACATCAGAGAAGTGACCGGTTATGTTCTAATATCTCACGTGGATATCAAGAAGATTGTTTTGCCAAAATTGCAAATAATCAGAGGACGGACGTTGTTTAAAATGCACGAGGATGACTACGCGTTGGTGATAACTCTGAATAAAATGTATTCAGTAGAGCTTCCTGCACTGCGAGATATTTTGACTGGAAGCGTCGGTATAATCAACAATTACAACCTCTGCCACATCAAGACCATTGACTGGAAAGAAATAATATCAGATCCAAAGGGCAAGGATGTTTATGTGTACAATTTTACCTCCAGTGAAAGAGAGTGCACTGCCTGTGATATAAGCTGTCCGAGAGGATGTTGGGGCGATGGATACGAAAACTGCCAGAAATTCTCCAAGACGACATGCAGCCCCCAGTGTGCGGAAGGGCGATGTTTTGGGCCCAACCCCAGAGAATGCTGCCACCTATTTTGCGCTGGAGGGTGCACTGGTCCTCGTCAAAGCGACTGCATTGCCTGCAAGAACTTCTACGATGAAGGTGTTTGCACAAACGACTGTCCCTCAATGAAAATCTACAACCCCACCACCTACTCTTGGGAGGTCAACCCGAATGGGAAATATGCCTACGGAGCCACCTGTGTGAAAAAATGTCCAGAACATCTTCTAAAAGACAGCGGCGCTTGTGTTCGAAGCTGTCCATCCAACAAAAAGACACAGGATGGAGAATGCGTACCTTGTGACGGCCCTTGTCCCAAAACTTGCTTCGGGGACACCACTGTACATTCTGGAAATATCGACTCTTTTCGCGGATGCACCGTCATTGAAGGATATTTAAACATCTTGGAGAACAGCTTCAGAGGCTTCCAGCACGTGTTTCCTAACTTTACCTTCGGAGACCGATACTCGGAGATGCATCCAGACAGACTGGAAGTCTTCAGCACCCTGAAAGAGCTCACCGGCTACCTGAACATCCAGGCTTATCACGACAAATTCAGAAACCTTTCCTACTTCCGCAATCTGGAAATCATTCATGGCCGAGTTGTGCATGAATACTCGTCATCTTTATACATCGTGAAAACCTCTCTGGAATCTCTGGAACTGAAGTCACTGAAGAAGATCAACATGGGAACAGTGGCAATTTTGGAAAACAAGCATCTGTGCTTTGCAGAGGCGATCAATTGGGATCGGATTAGAAAGAGCCACGAGCATTCGCTAATGTTGTCCAACAATAGCGATCCGAAAATGTGCAAAGCTAAAGGTTTGGTTTGTGATGATCAATGTAACACGGATGGCTGTTGGGGTCCGGGATCTGATCACTGTTTGGCTTGCGCCAATTACAAGCTGGGCAGCAGATGCTTGCAGAATTGTACCATTGAACCTGGGTAAGTAGGATTATTAATAACGTTCTCAGTTTATTTCAAGTTTTTGCTGTTTTTGCAACTTAACTTTAACTGAAGAGTTTACTTCATTTTCTATCAGTTTGTGATCTTGTGATGGTTTCAATGATGGTTCAACCGTTAACATGATTTGAGATTATTTACTTTGAACCAGTTGAATCCTTTGTTTGCTATTTTCTTTACTTCTGTCTTCTCCTTTGAAGTAAGAGAAGCGTTTCCTACTGGGAAAGCAAACAAACTCCAAATCGTATTCGTCAGTTTTAAAGCAATAATCAACGTACTTTGTATAATGTTAAAACTATCATCTTGTAACCATCATTTCAAATAAACCAAATAACTTGTAAAGTCCAGGGCTGATTCCCTCAACAATCCTTCGTAAACTCAATTGGAAAAAACCGATATAAAAAATGTTTCTAGCGTCAAAATTGGCCGTATTGAAAAAAGCTACATATTAATTGAACGTCAATTAGTTAATTAATTTGTTATTGTGTTAATTGCAGAATTTACCGAGCAGACAATCGCGAATGCAAACCTTGCAATCCGCAATGCGGTTCTTCTTGCCATGGTCCGGGCCCAGACCACTGCACCACCTGTAAGAACTTCAAAGATGGTCCATTCTGTGTTGAGAAATGTCCCACGAACAAGTATTCCGAAAATGGAATCTGCAGACCATGCCACAGTACCTGCGTTGATGGGTAAGAAGACTCTTACACCGTACCACTTTTAATTGATAAACTCTTGATAAGTTTTCACAATCCAATGAAACTGGAAATAGCTTCAAGATAAAATTAATGTTTAGCTCTTAGAAGGTTTTAATTGAAAAATACACTCTCGGTTAATAAAAAACACGGATAACATTATCAAGCACTCTCTAATTGCACACAGAAATATAACGCGTTTGTAGCATAGTCTTCATACTGGAGACTTACTTAATTTTCGTATTGTTTCCAATTTTCGTTATTAAAAATCTCCAAAGGTGAAAGATTTTTGACTCGTTTTAATATGGTGTAACTATAAAGCAGCTAATCGAGGCTATTTTATGTTTTGATCCAATTAACCCAAAAGGTACGGAAACGACAAAAATTGTTACCGTTGCTGTTTCTCCTAAACAAACTTAYMCTTTGTCAAGCTTTCTTGTGTTGTAATTTTTTWAATATTAAATACAATTACCACTTGCGTCTTCATTRTTGTTTTTCTTCTTCCAAAGTACTTTAAAGGATAATTCTTGCACAAAAAATAGCAGTAGCGAAATAAGTAAATATGAATCAACAAGAAATTCAGTTTAAATTTCTATTGCCAGTGGCTCGTTTCAACGAAGAATTTTTCAAATTTGTTCAAATCTTTTAGTAAATTTGTCAGCTTCCTTTGGTACTACTAAAAACTTCTTTCTTCATTATTGCTCTACTTTTAACGAATTTTTTTGTTTTGTAACCTAATTTCAATACAACCCTTTTTTCAAATTTATATCTTGTATAGCAAAATACAGTAGATTCCAAAAAATATGAATCAACATAATTACGTTAAGATTTTTGTTGCCAGTGACTCATTTGAAACAAGAGAACTTCATACTTTTTAGTAATTTGTCAGTTTTTTGTTTGAAACGACTAGCGATTTACTTTAAATTTATGGTTTTCACACAGGTCGATGAAGCAAAAAAGTTGCAAATCAAAAAGAAGTTAAGTTAAATTTTCTGCTGTTAATGACTTGCTCGAAAGAATAGATCTGTTTTTGCCTTTTAGTAACTTTACCAGTTTTTCTTTTTGACTTTGCTAATTGTTTCTTTATTATTGATTGCTTTTCTGCAAAATGTGAATAATAAAAAAAATAATTACAGTTTTTGGCTCTATTTCGTTTGAAACAAGAGAACTAATCATACTTTTTAGGAACTTTGTCAGTTTTTCTCCTAACGATTATTATTCTTATTTTAGAGAATTACTTTAAATGTACAATTTTCACACAAATAAGGTCGATGAAGCGAAAAAAAATTGTGAATCAACAAATTTAGTTAAAATTTATGTTGTTAATGATTCGCTTGACTGATGAGCGCTGGTTGCAACTTTTAAGTAACGTTGCGAGTTTTCATTTGAAACTACTAATTGCTTCTTCATTTTTTGCTCTTATATTAGCGAAGCACTTCAGACGTATAAGTGTGATGCAGGAAGGGTATTTGTGCAAAAATTTAAAAAATTATTTCACTCTGCCTATAGGTACAGAATATGTTCTTTCACTATGGTTCAAAACTGGCACTTTTGCGATGAATAGCTAATTATAAGCGAAAAAGTAAGTCTTGAGTAATATTAAAATCAATTAATTTCTTTTGCCTCTCCCGTAAACGCTGATAAATGTTACTTATCCCCTTCTTGCATCAGGATCGTCAATTATTCAAAAATAGGAAACACCAGAAAATTAATTTAAGATGTTTTAAGGAAAGTCTGATAGTGACTTTGCACATTATTCTTTAAATCTACTACTACCGAATTTCTTTGGCAAAAACCTTTAACGTGAAACAATTTTGGACCTACAATTTTATGTTCTCGTGCAATTCATTTTTATTTGTAAAACTCATACATTTCCTATTCAGCTTTTTAAGCATAGACCAACTTTTATCGAACAGACTGTTCATAAAAAATACTTTGGAATAAATCTACATTTTAGACAAGCTAAACTTCACTAGAAAGTTAAATTTCAGTGGGTTTTTTGGGTTTTTAGGCGGACGTAAAATGAAATTTCTGCCTGACGTTTCGCAAGCACGAGGGACTTGCATTTTCAGAGGTGGTTTGCTGATTAATTGAAGAAGCAAGCCACTCGTGCTTGCGAAACGCCAGGAAGAAATTACATTTTACGACGGCCTAAAAACCCGGAAATCTAGTTTCAAGGAATGGCCTTGAAAGTCATTATTTTTGAATAAATTTCAGAAAGCCTTAAAAATAATCTGAAAAAAAGAAAAATAGTTTTAGAACTGCAAAAAATCAGCAGGCAGCAAAAATGTAATAATTTAAATAAATGTATTACATAATAGTATTTTAAAATTATTTATATACTATTAAAATTCCCCTTGTTTATAGAAAACAGAGCGCTATTGAGCAATCAAACTTACAAAAACGACTTTTTATTTTTGTTGGCGCAGTCGGAGTGTGTTTTTTTTTAATAAGGCTACTAATTTTAAACCGGCGGTTTTCATTGAGAAAAAGGAAAATTGAGATTTTGAACAATAAAATATCGAAAAGACGCGATAAATGTTGAGTTAATGGATTACTTGAGTGTTGCTCTATCAACTTTTACTTATTGCCTCTGGGAGATTAATGAGAAAAGGAATTTGTAATTTGCTACATTTTAAATTTAATTCTGCATTAAATTTCCAGTTTATTTTCTTTCGAATTTCGTTATTATTGCTGATTCATAAAATTGGTTTCAATTCAAATAAAGCTTTATGAGTGTCTCAAACCGAATAAAATGGCGGGAACAGGTATTTGTCGCTTGTTTTCGACTCTATCTGCTCTTTCTGGTTCAGAAGACACAGAAGACTTTTTTTAAAGTCAATTATTGATCTTTTTCATGTCTTGACTGAGTTGTCTGCACCACATTGCTTTCCCATACACAAGCAACTTCTAGAAGCTGCTCATTTCGCCCCAAACTTTCAACGATTTTTTTAATTCTCAGATGCACTGGTCCGAAAAATACCGTGGGTCCAGGCGGATGCACATCTTGCGAACTGGCAATTATGAATGAAAATGCAACTGTCGACGTCTGCCTGCACCAAAACGACACTTGCCCAGATGGATACTACTTCGAATATGTGGCACCACAAGTTCAGGAAGAATCCTCATTGAAAAGCCTGAGCGCCATTTGCAGAAAGTGCCATCCCAGATGCAAAAAGTGCACTGGCTATGGATTTCATGAGCTGATCTGCCAAGAATGCACCAACTTTAAGAAAGGCGAGCAGTGCGAAGATGAATGCACTTTGGATCACTATCCAGACATTGCGACGCATGTGTGCATTGCGTGCGATCCAGAGTGTCGCGGATGCACTGGGCCTGGACCGGAAAATTGCATGGTCTGCCACAACTTCAAGCTGTATGAGGATGGCTGGATTGACTCGAACAACAGCTTCAGGTACTTAAACCATTCGCATGCTTCGAACTTTTAAAAGCTAACAAAATTTCTCTCCAGATGTGTCACCACATGCCCGCCAGACTTTCCACATAGAATCTTTCCCGAAAATTCGGAATCCTACTGCTCTGATAAACCAGAAAGCTTTCCATTGATGTCCGCCAAGAGCTCGACTTATGTTGTCGTTATATCAGTGTGCATTCTTGGGGGAGTGCTCGTAATCGTTATACTGGTAGTTGTTCTGGTGTACTGCCAAAGAAAAGAGAAAATCAAGGAAACTGCTATGAAAATGACCATGGCGATGGCCCTAAATAACATCGATGATAACGAGCCGCTTCGACCAAGGTAAATTGAACTTAATTTATTTATTTGCAGCGCGAAGCTAACAATTTTTTAACTTTAGCAATGTGCTACCGAATGCCGCCCACCTAAGAATGATCAAGGAAACTGAAATACGCCGCGGAAGCACTTTGGGCTTTGGAGCTTTCGGAGTGGTCTACAAAGGCGTCTGGGCGGTCGATGGCGAAAACTCATCGAAAATACCCGTCGCCATCAAAGTCCTGCGAAACGACACAACGACGAACAACAGCAAAGAATTCCTATCGGAAGCATACATAATGGCCAGCGTGGACCATCCAAATTTATTGAAACTGTTGGGGGTTTGCATGGCTTCGCAAATGATGCTCATCACTCAGCTGATGCCTCTTGGCTGCCTTCTGGACTTTGTCAGGAAGAATCATGATAAAATCGGTTCGAAACCCATGTTGAACTGGTGCACGCAGATTGCAAGAGGAATGGCATATCTCGGTAAGGCCTTCACAGTTACCTRTAGCAATTTCAGMATYTCTGGATTTCAAAACATTTTTCTTTTAATGCGACATAATTTAACATGTTCTCATGTTTTTTTRCCACCGATTAATAAAGAGTGYTAGAGATTWATTTCGCAATAAGGGACGAATTCTAGTTGTAATMTYTTCTGGTGTTTATATTATTATATTATTTTATATTMGTTTACACCCGCAAATTGGTTTGCTCTGTTAATTTCGACRTATCTTACTCTTGTTTTGTGAAATTCTTCAGCGTGTCTTATTTTCCCTTGCTCCAYGCTAAGAGTTTCAGTAGCTCTTGTTCTACGGCAAAATACAAAAACCTTTTTTAAGTGGTTCGTGGATTTGCTATCCATAGCCTTTTTGAAGGAAATACATTAAACTTCTAGCAAAAATCTTTTAATATTGCAGAAGAAAAACGGTTAGTCCATCGAGACTTGGCGGCAAGAAACGTGCTGGTGCAAAAACCAAGCTGCGTAAAAATCACCGATTTCGGACTGGCTAAGCTTCTGGATTACAACGAGGAAGAATACAAGGCTGCTGGCGGAAAAATGCCAATCAAATGGCTAGCTTTGGAATGCATTCAACACAGAATTTTCACGCACAAATCGGATGTGTGGGCTTTTGGAGTAACTGTTTGGGAGCTTTTAACCTTTGGTGGAAGACCCTACGATAACGTTCCTGCTAGGGATGTTCCTGAGCTGCTGGAAAAAGGTACTTGGAGATTGTGAAATAAAATGCCAACTCAACTAAACATTGATTCTTCTAAAGGTGAAAGACTGTCTCAACCAAGCATTGCAACCATAGATGTTTACATGACGATGATCAAATGCTGGATGCTAGATGCGGAAAGTAGGCCCTGCTTCAAGGAACTTGAAGATGTTTTTTCGAAGATGTCACTAGATCCTGGGCGCTACCTGATTATACCTGGAGACCGCTACATGAGACTGCAAGCCGGACTGAGCACTCCTTTGGTGAGTTATTAACTAGTGCTAAAGTAACTTGTTAAGTAACTGGAAACTGTTTATGTGCAGAGCGACGTCGACATGGTTCGTTCCCTGGCATCGGAAAATATGGATTCATCCGAAGCTGATGATTACATGCACCAACCGAAGTCCAGAGTTCCTTTCAACTCTACCGGAACGACTTCATTGTCCGGGATGAATTCGATATCGCCCACTCCAGATAAATACTGGCATTCTTCGCAGCCGATTACTTCAGATGGAAGTACGATGTATCCTAATTCGCAAAATCAGTTTAATCACAAACTACTCAGGTAAGTTTCAGGAAAGGTGAAGGACGGGCACGGAAAAAACATTTCAAAGTATTGAAGCATGAGTATGTGAATCGTACGAATGATGACCAAAACGCATATGCATTAAAGCTTAATAAAAATAAAGTTCAAATTATGAAAACAAGAAGTTTGAAATACTTCTTTGAGTAACTGGTAGTAAAGACCCCATAAAAATGTGGTGTTAATTTCGGTCTATCGTAATATGTGAATTCATGTTTCAATTGAAGGGATTAGAAGCAAAAGCGTCTAAGTCACAAAAGGTTTATTTAGAGAAATAAATCGTCAAAGTTTTCGTACAGTGGAAAATTCTTAGTTTACAAATTAAGTTAGTTTGTGTTATGGAACGATTCAAATTAAGTACAAAAACTTTCAAGAAATAAACAGAAATTAAATACGTTTTTAATCAAAAATGCACTTGGGTTGTTTTGCCTTTGAATTAAAAAAAAATTATCAAAAAATGCATAAACGACAAAGCAAACAATTTTTTTTTATATTTTAATATTTTGCATAAAAATATTATTTAGCAATACAACTAAACTTACTCGTGACTTGACAACAAATTCATGTAATTATTATCTTGTTGGGTATGCTTGGGTTGATGGTCGTTTGTTTTTTATATTTTTGCGGCTTTGGCTCATGGGACAGGTCTTTATAAAATTGATGTATTATCAATGATGAAATCTACCAACTTACTTCCTTAATATATATATATATATATATATAAAATAATAATATATAAAAAAATTCTTGTCTTACAGAACAAACAGGTTTTAGTCGTTAGTTCAGTTGCGTTTGTATCCACCAAAGTATCTGTTGGGGTACGAAAACGGGAGTGTTTTGTCTGTCTTGTGAGGCAAAGGGGATTCAGTATGGTCCAGTTGTGGGGGTTGTTTGTCCATTTTGTCTGTAAGTGTATTAGTCTTTCCGAAATTTTTTGTGCGTTCGTATAGTAGTTGGTTGGAAGGGTTGTGCAATGGGTTTCAACTTAAGTAAATTCTCCCATTTGTCATTTTTAATTTTGAGTTTTTCTGGATAAAGGGGTTTTAAGTTTAAATTAATTACTGGGCGCCCAACAACTGAAGGAAGGAGAACTTTCCATTCTCATCCAATTTTTTTTAAGGTTTTTATTGTATTACCTTGACCTTGTTTGGATCCTTAAATATGATTGTTTAAATATTTCGAAATGGGTACAATCTAGCTCTAGCCGACTTTCTTTTAGTTTCTTTTTTATCTCTGAAGTTGAAAAACTTGCTTGTAGATCATAAGTTGGTAAACTGTACAACTTAGAAAAAAGTCGTTGTCTCTCATCCCCTGTAAATTCCACACATGAGATCTACATGTGTGTTCATATTCCTGAACGATTTTTTTCTTTTATTTTTTCCTCTGCTTTCAGATTCTTGACCCGAAACCCTATTCTTCTTTATTACATTTCTTTTCAATTCATTACTTCTGATTAATTTTCCTGACTGCGTGTACTTGTTATTATATTCTTATCTTTCGTGGGTCTCAGTCAAAGTGTGAAGTAAAAATTTTGAATATCGTTTATTTTATTATTATATCGTTAACGATATTCAAAATTTTTACTTCACACTTTGACTGAGACCCAGGAAAGATAAGAAATCAATTCATTAAATTGATTGTTCTTTGTCGGGGTCGTTGATTCTTCTATGGTTTTTACCTGGGTGATTTTACTACTAATTAGAAGCAAATATGGAGAGCATGAGTTAACACTTAGGTCAGTTTTGCAAAATATTGAACTTAAGCGGTTTTGTTTCTAATCCATTCATTTTTTTGATTTTATAAATTTGTTTTTTAGAACATTAAATGACCAACACTTTCTTTCTTCTGGTAAATTATAAGTTGTTTTCTCTATACGAAATGAAATCAGGCTTTGGAACGTTTTTGGTGCAATTGAAAAAAATAACCTTTAGAAAGCACTATTTTTTCGACATCAGTTTTATTAGATAAATTTATAAATAGTAGTAGTAAAAATATTATTTTTTAAGAAACGGCCATCGACCCATCGGTATTTCTGCCAATTTATGTTTTGTGGAGAAAGTGATTTTTTTGTTTTTGCCTTAAATGGCCAACATTTTTAAAGCCAAATACTCAACAAAGAAGTTTTGAAATTTCGAGATTTATGGTACAAGCGCAAGTTTTTTGTCTGGTCACAAGCAAGCACTCCCAGGTCTATTAGTCCTTGCTGGGGACACGACCAAACCGTGCATTTATGACTGGGTAATCAGTAAAAAAACTGTTTTCACTACAAGATTTGTTTTCAAATTGATAAATAGGAACGTTATTTATTGCAGATACAACCAAGGAATGCATCGACACTTTGATCCGAGCCTGCAAGGCACCCAATCCGACATATCCTCAATCAAATACTGCGGAGAATCCATGAAATTCCGTGAAAAAGATGTTGGTTCCGACGAATACGATTCGGCAGGAAAGGTGCAGCAAGCGCAAGTTGGAACCCTCAAGCTAGAACTGCCGCTTGATGATGACGACTACCTTATGCCCTCGCCTCAACACACTCAAAGTGCTTCCACGTACCTCGACCTCAAGAATTCCACCGATCATCTCGCCAACTTGAATATCTTCCAAAACTATTCCGAGCTGTTTCAAAACAACATCGATAACCCCGAGTATCTGATGAATAACGAATCGGCACCCGATCAAACAGTTGGTCTACCGGTTGTTGATCAGTTTGAAGTACCTCCATCGCCAGGAACAACGGAGGTTCCAACAGGACCATACTTGCCGCCGAAAAGCAGCGAAGAAGAGAGTGATCATGAATGCTACAATGATTTTGACCGATTAAGGCGCGAATTGCAGCCTTTACAGAAGAACAAAGACGGCTCAATTGTTTAAATTGAAAACTCGAGGTGAGATTGGGTAAAGGTTTATGTGAAACGCCATTCAAAGGGACTTTTAATAAACGCTAAAGCAGTAGCTGTTCTAGCTGAAGGAAGTTTTACCTTTAAAACTGATACGACAATGTACAAACGCAACGTGGCCTTATGTACTTTTGTGCTTTAAAGGCTGTGCAAGAAAAAAATGCCATTGCTTCTTTTTTATGAAGAAAGACAATGGTGGGATTGTTTTCTGCGAATTTTATAACGTTTTAACAGTACTTTTAAAGTGGAAATACATGAAGCCATTCGGTTTACAAATTCCAGTATAAATGAAGATACTTAATTAGTGTTTAGAGTCTGACTGTAAGCAGTAGTGTCAATAATTGACAATAACTATACGGTGCCATTTTGTTTTTGAAAATGGCCTTTTGTACATTCTTAAAAAAAATTATTGTACATAGTTTCATGTATATTTAAGGGTGGTGTATGAAAAACAAGGACTCAATAATGGATTTGCCCCGCCAATTATTGATCAAAATAAATTCCAAAATTTTGCCAACAATTTTGTAAATTTTTATCAAAGTTCTTTGATTTTCCAAATTCCATTAAATTATTTCTTCATTTCAACTGATTTTTGACGAAAATACAAATCATGCTTAATTATAATTAATCTCAATTTAATACAATTTTCTACATTCAGAACATTAAGAACTCGAATAGCACGCAAATAGAGCGAATGTGATTCTCATTCTGCGCGATATTGAGTTTTGAATTGCAAAATTTCAACTAGAAAAGATAATTTAAAACTGAAATGAATGGCGAAATAATCGGTTGTTGAATCCGGATCAATAATATTCTAAAGACTTGGTTATCTAATTTGGTCCTGAATAGGCATCATTGATTGAAAATCGTACCAAGCCGGGTCTTCAAACTATTTTGGGCGAGTTATTAGGAAAATAACTGAGCCAATCCTAAATATTCTTGCCCAAGTTCGTATCTGTGATAATACTTTATTGTATGTTATAAGCAGCAATAACTGAGTAAAAATGGATTTAATTTTTAGTTGATTCGTTTTAAGGTTTTTATCATTAGTTGCATAGAACTAATCTCATTTTGAAAAATCTCATTCCCGTTAGTACCTAAATATTCGATATTGTTCAATAACCGTCAATCAATTAAATTTTCGCTCTGTAGAACACTATCGAAAAATTGACCAATTTCTTTCTGATATGTTTAAAGGAAATTTAACAGATGGATTTAGAAGAAAATCGTGCAGCAATAACACACCGAATAAAAAAAATTGTCGAATATTTTTTTAAAATTGTACTGTTAATATTTGTTTGTTAATTGCACTAAACTCTGTGCCATTATTGTATATGAAAAAAGTGCCTTTATTATTGTATATTGACTATTTTCACTGATTGAATACCTTTATACAGTTTTTAATAAAAATATATTTAATAAAATATATTGGACTTTTTATTTCATGTAATTGGTATGCTGCGAATATGAACAGATCAGAAAACATTGATTGTAACAGCAGTCATTTATGTGGCAAAATTTGCATAGATTAGTTTTCTACGAAATAAAACGGTTTTTGCTTCTTTTTGATTAATGAAACCAAATAATCTCTTCATATGCATCGATCTTTTTAGGCAATTCCAGGCTTAAAAGTAAAAGTGAGAATGTTCGGCTTCTCTTCAGGAAGGCCTTTTTTTCCTTCTCAAATTACCTCATCGTGGCCTCATCAAGACTATACAGACAACTTTTATTTAATATGTTCCATATTTTACGGTCACACTATTACGCATGGGGTCCTGCCGGGAACCGCCGCGATCGATATCTGAACTATAATTAGGAGAAATTTGAAATTTTCACTATGCCACGTGCCAAGTCATTGGGGGCAAGCGATCTAAAATATTTGCAAGATGGCCACACTTCCGGTTGTACCGGAAGTAGGTATCAACTTGCTTATTTAAAATAGAACACCCTATATATTATTACATTGTTAAATTCTTCTCCAAATTCTAAATATAATTCATGTATAATAATCACATACCTAAGTCTAACTGTTTTCCATATATTTGAAATTTTATATAAAAAATGTCACATCCTCCATAAGTATATAAATTTAAATAATCTTCGTTTGTATAATTTAAGCGTATAAGCATGATTATTAATTATTTTCAAAATATAACTGACAGCTGTAAGTATTGCTTTGACATTTGATTGCATTAAAAATGGCCACTGTCGTCATGGCAACTAAAAGCGACAAAATAACCATATCAAAACATTAAATTGACAATATTTCGAAAACT